CAGTTCAGCCCAGAGAGCCAGGGCCTGGTGCCAAGTAGGCTCTCTGCTTGAGAGGAACGTCCTGGGAGTCATTATACCTCTCTGCCCAGAGGCTCAGGTATCCAGGCTCGGGGTGGGCCAGCAGTCAAAAAGAAGGGGGCTGTGGGTCTTGGGCCCTGGTGTGGGTCCCCCAGCAGTCAGAGGCCTTGGTGGCCATAGAGCCAATGGGTAAGGGAGAAGGGGGACTGGGCTCTGCCCCACTGAAGTCAGTGGCACCAGCCTCCCAAAGGGTCCCTGGGAGGAAGACCAGCATGAGAGGAAGTATTGCAGAAACCTCAGGCACCTCCTCTGCAGGGTGGGCCCAGCTGGAGGGCCCATATCAGGGAGGTGGGCCTTGGGGCCACAAGAGAAAGGAGCGGCTGCTGCCGCATGGAAAGCAAGCCTGGTGTACAGAACATGGCATCAGCTGAGCAGGGTGAGGTCTCCCTGAGACAGGCGTGCACCTGGACACAAGTCTCCTCCAGCAAGAAAATACAAAGGAAGTATCAATATAAGGGACTAAAAATAACTGCATGCATGCGCAGTTGGGGCAAATTCTGGACAACGAGATACAAAGAGACCAAGGTGTGGGCACACCACCTGAGCCACCCCTCCGCCCGACCCCTGGACACACCCCCACATAAGGAACTGGCTCACCCCACCTCAGCTAGCGAGCAAGCAATGGAATCTGTTACTTGTCACTTGTTCTCGCTCCCCGCTGCTACAACAGGGGCCCGAATAAAGCCTTGCCTGAAATTCTTTTCTGGCCTCTGATCCATTTTTACTGATTAAGGAGGCCAAGGACCCAGTCGGCAACATCCCCACCAGTCCTGAGGAACGCTGGAAGAGCCCGGGATGCCAGGGGCTGGGGCCAGAGGTGCCCGCGACCAGGAGAGGGGTCTGAGCTACCTCCAGATGGAGCAGCACCAGGTCCGGAGAGGCTCCAAGCTGGACAACTGGCCAGGGCTGGGGCACCAGAAGCTGGGGGCCTGGGATGACACTGGGCTGGAAGGCAGTGTTGGGGAAGCACCAGGCAGATCTGGTGGGGACCTGGTTTAGTGGCTGGGACTCGTGCCACCTGCTAGGCTTGGCTTTACCAGGGTGGTGATGGACAGGGCTGGGGAAGATGCCCCTGGAAGCTGGCGTCCGTGTGTCCTCAGGACCAACAGGTGGCAAGCTGAGGGGTGGCAGGCAAGGCTGGTCAGGGCTACCCTGGCTCTCCCGCGCTGAGGAGACGCCAAGCTTTGCGGAAAGGCAGGCAGGGCCCAGGACTGCCGGGGCACCCAGGCCTCCCCAAGCAGGGTCTCTTGCCCACTCACAGCAGATGGGAGCCCAGGCCTCACTGAGAACACTTCAGAAGGAAGGGCCAAGGCCTCAGCAGGCAAGAGGCTGGCGGAAGCCCCTAGCTTCTCTGCCGTGAGGCCCCAAGCCAAAGCCCCAGTCCTTCTGACAGCGGGGCTTGGGGAAGGGAGGTAGGTAGGGTCTGAGGACAAACAGCCGCCAGGGCTGGAATCGCAGGCTGTGAACTATGGGGAGGAGAGAAGACCGCCCCGGGCTCACCACCCGCACCTGAGAAGGAGAGGGGCTTGTAGATGATTTTATCTGATGGCTGGCGGAGAAAGGAGCAAGGGACACACCCTGCCAGGCCTAGTAATCATTGGAGGGGCCTCTTGAGGTCCTTCCAAGGAGCACAGGGGCTCAGCACATCATCCCCAGGAGCCCAGGTTCTCGCTGCCCTGAGAAGGCACAGGGGCCTGGGGGTGGGGTCCCTAGAGGACAGAGGCAGCGGTGCAGGAGGCAGAGTGACCAGTTCAGGCTGAGGCTGGGGAGGGGTGGAGGGGGTGTCAGATGGGCTGGATAGCTCTGTCGACAGACGTACGAGCCTCTGGGTGGGCAGCGGCTAGGACGCCCAGAGTTGGGATCCCCAAGGAGGCAGCAGTGTACCCAAGGAGCCCCCCATCTACCCCTGCCCTGGGGCCTGGAAGGGCTGCATTAGACTGGGCTGCGGCACCCCCTGGGCCGGGGGCTGGGGGAGCTGCCCGAGAAGAGGTCCCGAGAGCACAGAGGACAACAGCCAGAGCAGAGCCCAGCGCTCACCGGCCGGAGCGCCCCTGCGGCCTTCCTCATACCCACGCCCTCCCCAGGCTTCTTCAGCTGGGGCCGGGCCTAAGGGGCAGCAGGCAGGGCTGGAGGCACCACTCCCACTTCCAGAGGGGCCTGGGGGGGTCAGAAGAGGCACATTCAGTCAGGTGGGAGTTGGGCCCTCCTCCATTTCTCCTGCAAGGGGCGGAGGGAGAGCAGCCCGGTCACTCCAACCCCCTCAGTGACAAGCCAGGGAGGAAGCCATGGAGGTTACCGAGTGGAAGGGGGTATCCTCGTACCCCTCAACCCGTGCATAGCCTCGCTCTCCTCCTCCCCACAACACCCGCTAGAGACAGAGCTTCCCCCTCACTCACCTCTTTGCAGGCTTAACTCCTGGCAGCAAAACTAGCTGGTTGGGCCCCTCAGCCTTTTGTACTGGGCTGGGGGAGCCAGGTGGGGCAGCCAGGGGGCAGGGCCTCACTCAAGCTGGAGGCTCACCTGAGCGCCCTCCTCCATTTATTAGGGCAAGAGGTGCACGTGATGTCTAGAAAGCCCACCTGGGTGGGGAGAGAAGCCCAGCCAGGGCAGGTCTGAGCCAGGCCAACAGGGGGCGGAGCGGAGCCAGGTACAAAGGTTCCTGGCCTCCCCGCTGGCCCAGAACCCTCAGGACTGGCTCTGGGTGTTAACACAGGCCCCGACTTGCTGTGACCATCAGCAAGTTCCTGTACCAGTTTCCCCATCTGTAATCTAGTGGGAGTAGTGGTCCGTGTTACTGGAACACCTGACTCAGCATCACCTTCAATTAAAACCCAGGTTCCTGTGGCTTCCCTGGTGGGCAGTGGTTGAGAGGCCGCCTGCCAACGCGGGGAACACGGGTTCGTGCCCCGGTCTGGGAAGATCCCACATGCCGCGAAGTGGCTGGGCCCGTGAGCCATGGCCGCTGAGCCTGCGCGTCCGGAGCCCGTGCTCCGCAACCGGAGAGGCCACAACAGTGAGAGGCCCGCGTACCGCAAAAAAAACCCAAAAAACAAAAGAAACCCCCCAGGTCCCGGGACACCATTTCCCAGGTGATTGTTTGAAAAGCCTCTGCCTGGGCGCAGCCCAGCCCAGGAGCCTTAGCCAGTTACAGGGAACGGTGGGGTCAGAACCGAAGCAGAGTGGGCCCCACACCCCACCGCCCCCTTACTTGCCCTCAGCTCTTAGCCATCAATATCCCCACCAAAGAATGGAACAGGCTTTCTGAAAAACTGTGAGGGGTGATAGCACTGCCTCCCTGACAAGAGTCCTGGGGCAGAGTTCAGTTCCCGTCCCCACCACCTTAGGCTGGGCTCCTTAGGATGCTGTCATATCTCCTCCCTTAACAGACCCCTCAGGCCAGGGCCAGGTCTCTCCCCTCAGACTGGGCTCCCAGGACACAGTTATCCCAAGGGAGGCAGCCGCCTCCCCCTACCAGCTCCAGCTCTGCACTGCTCTCATCCAGCCTCTGCACCATTACGGTCCTCTAGGGCCCCAGGCGGACTCGGGTGCGGAGTCCTATCTCGAGGCCTCAGATCCTGCCAGGTAACTGTGCGCAAGATGCACGCCTGGCACATGACAGGGACACAGTAGGTGTACAAGGAAGGCAGGAAAGGAGGGAAGAGGGCAGAGGAAAGAAGGAAGGAAGGAAAAGAAAATTAAAAGTAAAGAAGGAAAGAATCACAGCCAAATCCAGCAAGGCCCTGGTAGCCGGGTGGGTGAGGCTGGCAGGCTGCAGAAGCCCAGGGCCCGGGGGTTCAGAGTGACCTCGCCTACGTTGCAATCCTGTCTCTCCCTGCCTACGCTAGTAGCCCGGAGTGATTCAAACTCTCCAACACTTCAGCTTTCTGTAAACATGAACCACACCCCAGCTCTTCAGGTTGCAAGACAGAGTTGACGTGGTAGGAGCAGACTGGATTTGAGCCTTGTTTCCGGGCCCCGCCTCCTCCCATCTCGTTCCTGCACTCCAGCCGCACCTATTTCCTCTGGGACCCTGCACATGCTGTTCACCTGACTCAGGAAGCACTTGGCACTCATTTACCCACATCTTCCTACTTGGCTCCAAGGCCCACTTCAGGCAGCACCTCTTCTGAGACCCAAGGACACCTCCTCACACCCCGGTTAGGCCAGGTCCCTTCTGAGCTTCCATGGCACCCTTCCCCCAGGTTCTGCACTGCAGTCACCACATGTGTTGGAGTTACCTATCTCCTGACCTGTCCCCTTCCCAGGCCAGGGGGACTCCAAGGGCCTGTGTGGATAGAGTACTGGGGGCAATGGGTCTACACAAATAGTGTAGCTGAGCTCAGTGAAGACCCACAAATATTAGCATAGATGCTGGTAGGTGTGACCAGCCCTCACAGACTGGCTCTGCCCAGACTGAGTGGGAAACCACGGCCAGGAGGCAACCTCAGCAGTCCTGAGAACAAACCTCTATGGGAATACATGCCAGCAGAGGCAGGGTGTCTGGAGGGAACCTAAGCCCAGCTAAGGTGTAAGAGGGGCCATCCCTCAGTGGAGAGATGGGGACAGCTCTGTTTTACCTAGCCCTTGGCAGGCACATCCTTGGTCCTGGCAGAGGGGCACACAATAGGGTCTGGTGACCAGCATTTCTCACTGGGCAGTGGGCTACATACCAGCAACCACCAGGACCCACATGGGTCTCAGGAGGGAGAGGCTTTGCCTGAGCAGGGAAACGGCTGCACCGTGGGCATGTGGTGAGGGCCCATGTGGCCGGAGCTAGCGGGCACAGCGTGCTTGTCGGCCTCAGCATCTTCTGGGCTGGGAGCAGGGAGAGCTGCAGCCTGAGTGAAGGGCTAGCGATGACATCACCTGGCGATGACATATGAAATCTATGACCTCCCCCCAAGACACAGTCAGGCCCCAGGTCCAAACACAACCCAAATGCTTTTATGTTTAATGGCCTGCCTCCAGGGCCCACAGCCTTATTACAGACCTTAACTAGGCCAAGGGCCTGGCTTGCCAGCTTCTGGCTCAGTTCAGCACTCTGCAAGAAGGTAACCCACAGCAGGCCTGGCTGATGCGGCCCTGGCTTGGGGAGGGCCAAGGTCCTTAGTCGACATCTTCGGAGACCTCCCAGGACTGAGCTGTCACTCAGCCTGTCCCTTTTTTAGTCCCTGAGTCCCTGCAGCTGCTTGGCTTCCGGCAAACACACAACTTTCCTGGGAAAATGCACCAGGTTGGGGCGGCACCTCAGGGAAGTCACTGGTGTCAATTCAGCACAGGCCGGGGCCTCTCAGGGGTGAAAGCAGCAGGCCCAGGACAAGGATGCCAGCCCCAGGCTGTATCCCTGCACCCCCTGTAGCAGGGGATGGGAGGGGAAGGCTCCCCTCAAGGAGCTCCAGACTCGGGGGTTAGGGCCCAACCCCAAATGCTGGGGCTGTATGTAGCCCTAGGCTTTCCTGGGAAATGACTCTAGAAAGTGTGTGAGCCATATACACTGGACAACATACCACTCTAAGATGACCAAGTCCTATGACACATCAAGACTTTCTAGAGGAAGGTTCTGTGGGCCTCAGCCTCCTATTCCAGGCTCTGGCTGAGATCTAGGCTCCTGTCCTGGGCAGGAAGCAGACAGCAAACCATGATGGGTGTGTGTCAGGCATCACCCCACAACAACCCTGTGAGGTAGGCTGTGTTGTCCTATTTTACAAACGGGGAACTGAGGGCGCAAGAGAGGAAGTGGCCTGCCCGTTTACACAGCAAGGAACAGGAGCCAGGATTCAAGCCCAAGTCTGTCGGGCTCCAAAGCCCACACGTTTTCTCTAAGGAAGAAATAGGAAGTAGTCCTTTCTGATAAAGGCCCTCAAGTTAAAAGTTCAGGGGCTCTCAGCCCAGCCTGGGGTGGGGGGCGGGGGCAGGGTAAGAGCTGGAGAAACCCCAAGGCCATGTCCGCTCCTGGGCCTCAGCAGCTGGACCGGCAGAAGCGGGGCACAGAGAGCAATCCCCAGATCTCCAAACAGCAGAGGCGACCAAGGCTACAGCTGATGACTCTGGCTCCCCAATAGCTGCGGGCGGGGCGCGGTCCGGTCGGGTCCTGAGGCCTTGTGGCCCCAAGTGGGCAGAGCCAGGCCATTGAGCCAGGCGGATTCGAGCAGGCTGCGGAAGCGCGCCCTCATCGTGGGGCCGGGCAAGCTGGCACCAGCAGCAGGGGTGGGTGAGGCACCTCGGGACCCTCCTCCAGCAGTTGCCTCTGCTTTCTCCAGGCCAGGGGTTGGTGGCTTCCTCCCCGGCTTTTTGGCTTTGGGGGCAGACAACTTCCAAGCCAGGTCTAGGCTCTCTGGCTCCTCTCTGGCCACGGTGGGCTCTGAGGAGGGCACAGATCCAGCCTCAGTGTCAAAGTCACCTGGAAAATGAACATACCGTCAGGCTGCAGACCCCCAACACCCTCAAGTCCCATCTCCAGGCCTCCAAAGCCATCTAGACCAGTGGTTCTACTGTCCCAGGTTAGGGCAGCCCTGGCAGGGTCACAGACATCATGACCCTTTCCCAGCATGTGCACACTGGCCTGACCGTCATGCCCATCAAGCCGAAAGGGTGTGCTTCTCCTCAGGTGATACCAGCACTCTATCTAATGGGGGCACCCCCCCAGGAACCCTTTGGGTGCAAGGACAAGAGGAAAGGGGCTCAACAGGCCAGAAACCATTGGTCTGATCCAAAGGCTCACTGAACAGGTGGGGAAACTGAGGCACAGAGAGAGAGGACCCTGCCACATATAAGGGTGCCATCATTCTTCTGTCACATCACCCCCAGAACCGGAACAAGAGCCAGGCAGGGACTGCCCAGAGAGCAGCGCCCGGAGGGAGGGAGGGAGTGGAGGAAGGGGTGGAGGGAATGGGAGGGGCCTTCGGACCAAGAGCCCACCTACTTGGAAGGGGGGCTGTCAGGGGAGCACTGTCTAAGGACACCACTGAGGAGTGGCCCCATAAGGATACGGGAGGGAATGGGGACGGGGGCACCAAAATGCAGCCAGTGGTAGGAAGCTGGGCCCCAGACTCTCATAGGCTTGGTCAGAGCAGGAGGGGTCTGTGATGTGCCTGTGACCCACTGTCCAGAGGACCTGTCCCTCTCTGGGCCCCAGAGAGCCCAGATGTATAGAGAGAAGACTGGCTGGGGGGCTTGTGAGTGAGGCATGACACCCACCTTCACTCTTTCTCACCCAGGAATAGAATGCTTGTACTTGCATTTTCTTTGCACCCCATTAGGGCAATGCCCCAACTTTGTAAGTGCTCAGCAGTGCTCATCACCCACACCCCAAACTCCACATCAGCACCTCGCTGCCTCAGGCCCCCTCTCTACCCCGATATGGAGTCTGGACCAGGGCAAGACTGCCAGGATGGGGAGGGGACAAGAAAGTTTCTGTGGAGACACAACCAGAGGCCTGGCGGACGTAAGGCAGGGGGACTACAGAGCGGGCCTCTGGCCTCAGTGCCAGGTGTCCTGAAGTAGGACAGGCAACGACAGACACCACTTGACACCATCACCAAAGCCGCGGCTGAAGAAGAGTGATCCTGATGGTACCCACCGTGGGGCACTACAGCCACTCCCCAGAGCAAGGTCCAGCTACCTGAACTGAGGCGGAAGGTGCTCCCAGACACAAAAACAGCACATTGGAGAACACCGTGCACAGACTGTTTGGTAGGGAGAAGCAAACCACAAAATGACGCTGCGACTTACAGGCAATTTCTGTGTGTGTAAATATCTGGGAGGACTGGGGAATTACACATTTAAAAGTGTTCCGGGAGGGAGGGTGGGACCCCTCCCCCTCCCCCGCCCAGGTTTGGGGTACGAGGTGCTGGATGAGTGCAGTGCTGCTGAGACGGGAAAGACGGGGATGGGAAGCGAGCTCAGGGGAAAGGTCAGGAGCGTGGTTTGGGAGGAGTTAAGGGTTGAAGAGCCCCCAGGTGCAGAAGCCCAGCATGCAGTCAGGTATTTGGGGCTTGAGCTCGGAAGAGGGGAGCGGGGCGGGACAGACACAGGGGGAGATGACCTCAGACAGGCACAACGGAGGATGAGGGGGGAACCTGGGAGGGTGCTGCGCCAGGGAAGGCCAAGTTTTCCTGGGGACAGAGCAGTTGGCATGTTCAGAGACTTACAAAGGAGGCTGTGCAGGCACTCATTGATGCTGGGGGTGAAGAGGGATGCGGGCGTCCACAGAGCCTACCCTGGAAGGCCAGCCCCCTCCCCAGGCACGAGCTCTTTCCAGAAGCCCGGGAATCCCTCAGCCCCTGGCTGTGACCACTCACACAGCCCACACACCTGTCACTCGCTCACACAGCTCCGGTGGCTACTGGGGCTGCCCCATGCTCACCCAGCTGGCGGCGTACACAGTCTCGCCACTGAAGGCCCAGCAGGTCAGGGTAGATGTCGGGCAGCTGGCGCAGCGCCAGCAGCTTCAGCATGCGCGACGTGCAGCCGTGCAGGGCACGCTCCCGCAGGGCCCGCTCCTCCGACAGCGTGGTGGGCCGCAGCTCCACGCGATGCTCCTGCAGCACGTGGTCCACGGAAGCGGGTGGCAGCCGCGGGAAGAGCCGCTCCTTCACCAGGTGGATGGGCACGAAGATGGCCCCGGCCCGCACCACGTGGGGGAAGGGGCACTGCTGCGTGCACACAAAGCTCTGCAGCTGGGACAGCAGCTTGCTCAGCAGCCCCTGCACACCCTGGCAGTCCTGCCACGCCGCCCGGCCCCAAGGCCCAGACGTCTCAAGCCACTCGCGCAGCTTTTCCGGCGGGGAGTGGGCCACTGAGCCTGAGATGGCGTCACACAGGGAGGCATGCAGTCCTGCAAAGTGTTGCTCTGGGGAGTCTGCTGTGGCGGGAGTAGACGCTGGAGCGGGGCCTACAACTGGAGCCGGAGCCGGAGCCGGAGCCGGAGCTGGTGCAGGCGATGGAGCCGGAGCAGGGGCCGAGGCAGGGGAGGTCATGGCTACGGCTGGAGGGCTGGGCAGCGCCAGGTTGAAGCAGGCCACGGGCAAGGGCTGGGTGAGAATCTGTAGTCCAGCGGGCACAGGTGTGGGGGTGGGTGCAGGCTGAGCAGGGGCTGAGGTGGGCACAGCTGGGACCACGGCTGGAACCACAGTTGCAGGCAAGGGTGCTGGCCGGAGGATCTTGAATTTTCGGAACATGAAGGCTACAGAGCTGTGGAAGTTGGTCCTTGGGGTCGCCTCTGTGGTCACTGGCACCCCAGGCAGGTCTGGTGCCTCTGTGACTACCTTTTTCAGGACTTGCCGATCTGAGACTGTGTCCCCCACACCTGGCATGTCGGAGACTGTGTTTCCCACACCTGGCACATCCACAGCTGCGGTGGGCTTGGCATGCCCTGCGGGATGAGGGACCTTGGCAGGGGGGGCCTCTGCCGTGGTCTTCTTCACACTCAAGTCCAGTGCCACCTCCTCCTTAAGTGAGGCGTGCACACTCGCGGGGGCTTCCCGGCCAGGCAGAGATCCCCTGCAGTCTTTGTCATGGCTCTCACTGGGGGCTGGGGCCGGGTCTGGCTCAGCTGTGGCCTCAGGTGCCTGCACGTCCAGGTAGTCACGGTAGGGGGCCAGGCTGAAGACGTTGTCGATAATGGGCATGGGTGGGGAGCTGGGTGGCAGTGTGCCCTCGTTCTGCGGAAGAGACTGGCGCTCCTGGGCACAGGGCGGGAGTGCCGGTGGGGTGCGTGGAACTGGACTATCTCCAATGATGATGGGTGCCCCAGGGTGCTCATCGAGGTGGGGCTGGAGCTGCTCTCTCCTGCAGCTGGGCAGCCACATCTTCTCCTCAGCTTCCTGCACTGGCTTCTCTGCAGGCCTTGCAGGCTCTAAGCATGGCTGGCTGGCAGGCAGAGGCTGGCATGCCCGCTGGAAGGCACCGGGCTGTGGCACAGCCTGCACACTGTTCTGGGAAGGTGGTGTCCCTCCGAGCCCTGGGGATGCTCCATAGAGAGAGAGGTCATCCCGGGCGTAAGGAAAGCCCAGCGTCTGGGGGGCAAAGTCCACTGGGCAGCGTGAGGCAAGAGGTGGCTCCAGCTTGAGGCCTGGCGAGGGTGCTGGGAGGGGGGCAGAGGGGTAGGAATAAGCATCCAGCCCCCCTGGGGGCACACAGGGTGCCTGGGCTGCCTGCTGCCTCAGGTAGGGGCTGCTTAGCCCGCCAGCTGGGTACCCGGCCCCCTTGTGGGCTCCCAGCGGCTGTGGTGGAAGCATTGAGCCATAGCTGCCCTGCTTCTCTGGGTGGCGACAGGCTGGAGGGCAAGGGAGGGCCTGTGCGGCGTGGGGCAGAGGATGGTGGGTGGGCACTGCATCCTGGCAGGCTGGTCCCAGAGGTTGGGCCAGCTGCGTCCAAGGACTGGGGGGTCCCTCGGACAACGCCTGCTTGGGGTCCCCAGAGTAAGGACCTGCATACTTGGAGGCCAGGAAGCCTGTGCTGTGGATGGTCCGATACTTCTCCAAGAATGCCTGGCACGGGGAGAAGCTCACCGAGGAGTCTTTGCCAGATGTCCCAGCTGGCACCCCACGCAAGAAGGTACCATCCAGGGACTGGCCCTTGCCAGGAGCTGGGGTCAGAGAACAAGATGGGTCGGCGGGGGGTAACAGGGATCCAGTCACCAGCGTCCAATCAACATCCAGGGGCCTCTTTGCTGCCCCTTCCCCCAGGCAGGTTGAGAGCCCGTAACACAGAGGGTTGCGGTAGACAGGTTTGGGTGCCGCCAGTGGTGGGCCTGGGTAGGAGTGAGCCTGAGGACCGAAGGGTAGGAGCTCAACTGGGCCAGAGTCCTGTACTTTCTCGGAGCTTTCTGTGGGTGGGCGGTAGAGCAGGCAGCTGGTCAGAAGGTTGTCTGCCCGAAGTGGGGGTCCTGCCATGCTGGTGGGGTACAAGGGTGGGTATGGGGTCCAGGATGCCAACCGCTCAGACCCTGTCTTCGGAGGACCCCCCATGGGGCAGGAGAAGTAGGCACCTTTGTAACTGCAGGGGTCCTGGTTACCAGCAGAGGGGGGCAGGCTGTGCCCGGGCCCAGAGTCTGCCTCTAGGCGGGGCAGCTTGCCATACATCACAGGCCCCAGGGTCCCCAGTGGCCGCTTCTCCGCCATCACTGTGAAGGCTTCAAGCCCTCCAGGGCCCCAGCTACTCAACTGCTGACCTGGGAGAGAGAGGGAGAGGCAGGGGCTGTCAGAAAAACAGGTTACAGGCAAGCAACAGAAGGCTGTTGCTCTTACTGGCTCATTGCCATGCCCAAGAACTTGGCACTTAGTAAATGCTCAATAAAGACTGTATGGATGAATGAATGAAGGCATGAGCCAACTTTATTCTGTAAAAGCTGCAGAACCCTCTGTTTAATGAATTCTTGTACAGCAGCCCTAACGTACCCCCGCCCCCCACTCCAGGAGCCCCTTCTGTTCAGCTTTCCTCCACATGACTCCCAAGACCCCTTCCACAATTTCCCACACCTCCACCCATTTACAGATAAGGAGACCCATTCATCCCAAAGTCACTGATGAAAGACATGGGAGGAGAGGCAGGCTTCCTACCTCTCACTACAAGCTCTTATTCCAAGATGCCATAGTGATCTCTAGATGCCTACAGCAGCCGAGACGTGGAATCAGGCACTGTCTACAAATTCAGATTTCCTGTGATACTCTAGATCTCACTTTCTGACCTGCCAGTCTCATCGAAAATAGCAGAGCCAGGCCTGGAACCCGGGTCTCTAGGCCCAGGAGGACAGATACTGGGCTTAGTTTTAGAGGGCAGTACCCCAGCACAACCCTTTGTATAAGCCCCACCCCGCACCCTAGACCCACCCCAGACCCACCCCCAGGAGGAGAGCAAAGGCTGTCCAGCAGATGGTGCTGTGGCGCCAACAGGAAGCTCCCAAAAGGGGAGGGGAGGAGAACCTGTGCCCATCCCAGCCCCCAAACTGCAGCTATTCCAAGAACATGGGGGCAGCACAGGACCATGGAGCAGGTGGGGAGGCGAGAGGATGTGAATATGCAGGGAAGGAGCTTCCAGGGGTCACAAAGTGCTAGTTGGCAACGACCCCCATTGTATTGATAGAAAAACTGAGTACCAGAGAAAGACTAAGGTCCTCAAGCAAGGCCAAGCAAGGACTGGGACCTATAGGCTCAGAGAGGTCAAGTGTGGCTTTCCTCAAGGCAGCAGGCACCCAATGGCACAGGAGGGGTTCATCTGAGGCCAGTCTACTAGGACCACATTGACCTGCTTCTACCTCCCCCAGTGCCCTGTTCCCCGAAACCCTCAGGTGGCTTAGAAAGGACGAATCAGCTCAATCTTGCTATCATTAGGCCATGGGACAGGTGTCACAAGTTTCTATCACCAAGCCAGGATCAGCCCCCCCCCCAGTCTTCTCCCTTCCGGCTGGTGGCCGACGAGACCCACACGTTCAGAGTTAGACCAGCACATTTTGGGGACAGAAAAAGCCGAGGGTGATATGGGGGCCAATGCCTACTCTCATCCCAGCCTAAGTGCACCAAGGAAGCCAGACACGACTCAGAAAGAAAGCTGTCTCATCTCCGGGCCAGAATCCAACACCTCTGGCCAGCCTGGAGAAGTGGATGCTCCGAGAAGACAGGAAGGAGCACCAGAGCAACAATACCGATAGCAGCGCCCTATGACAGGGCCCTGCACCCCAAGGGGAAAGCCCCCACCCTGCTGCACAGCAACTTTGCAAGAAGGGGTTGTATGGTTTGGGGAGTGCTGAGCCCCCCTGCCCTTGGGGGGGCTCTGGGTTAATAAGTGCTGGCTCTAGTCTCACCTCCCCCACACACTCCTTGGGGCCTTCTCCATACCCACCCCCGGCCCCAAGAGCCCTTCTCTCCTAGGCTCTGCCCATTGCATGCCCTTGACCCTGGAGACTTGCTGAGACACTCCCCCGGGACTTAGCCCAATAAAGGTGAGGCCACTTGGGACCCCCAAGAGTCTTTGGGGGAGAGATGGGGGCTCCAGGGAGCCAGCAGAGGACTATGAAAGGTATGGGGGTAACATTACCTCCGGCTCTTAGGAGATGGGGAGAGCCCAATATTTTACACACTCCACTCTAAACGGTAGCCAAAATGTAGGTGGCCTCCTTCCCCCCCACACACGCAGCAAGAGGCAAGCAATTGTTCGGAGAAGGGCGGGACCCCAGGGGGCAGGGTCACATCACCCTTTGGGCCACCGAGCTGCTTGCTGGCTGAGGTTGCGGCTGGGCTGGGAGGACCAACCTCAAGCAGCGCCCAGAAGAGCCCACCACCGCTGTGCCATCCCTGCCCTACGCAGCAGGGGGAGCAAACAGCTCCGTGGCTCAATTCCCTCTTCCAACGCCTAAGGGGTCTCCGGATGGACGCTGGGCAAGACCAGGAAGAAGAGAGCGATCCTGCCCAGCTGTGGCCAGCGCTTGGACTCTGAGAGGGCTGAATCGGCTCCCCTTCCCGTGTTCTCACACCTCCCCCAGCTGAGGCTCTGGGCCCTGCCCACGCTACAACCGCATCTAGGGGCAGCCCAGGCTCCCGTGGTGGAGGAAGGGTCGCGGGATCCGCTCCACCCACTTTCCCCTACCTGCTTGGCCCATAACTCCGGTGCCTGGGGCCCTCAGCCGACCTAGCTTTGGGGCTGCCGCCACACCGACCCCGGCGGCTTCCGGGTGTCCCCATGCCCTGCCCTGCGGCGCTGGGGCGCACGTGCACCCCAGCAGGCCGATACACAGGCCGCCGCCACCCATGCAAACCCGTGCCTGCAAGTACGTGCCTGGCCCATATCTGCACACACGCCCCTCCAGAACTGCGTTCTCCCCTCGTTCGGGCCCCCGCGCACCCAGCTCCACGGACCGACACCCAAAGACTGGCGGGAGGGCGGGGGCAGGGGGCGGCCTGGCAGCAGAGTCCGGGCAGCCACCGCCTCGGGGCGATCCCGCCAGCCTGGGCTGCGGCCAGAGGGTGAGTCAAGCCGCAGCGAGGAAACCGCAGGGCCGTCCCGTCCCAGTAGGGCGCGTCCAGGGCCCCGCGGCGCCTCAGTGCCAGACGTCCCCCAGGCCAGCCCCCCGCCGCCCCCTCATCTCCGCCCGGGCAGTCCACGTGAGTCGGGCCCCGCGGGAGGCCCGAGGGCTCGGCCTGAGCTCCTCTTCGCCAGCCCCACGCCGGAGGATCGGGCGCCGGGGCCCCGCCGGGGCTCCAGAGAGCTACCAGGCCCCGAGGGCCTCGAAGTCCGGGGAAAGTTGGGGCAGCGGCGCGACCCCTGCCCCGCAGCCCGCCAGCCGGGGGTCCGCGGCAGCCAGGAGCCAAGCCACCTCAGCCCAGGCCCAGCGCGCTCCATCCCCGGGCCGGCCGGCAGGGGCGCCCTGGGGCAGCGCCACCCGCCCCTTCCCCACGCGCCGCCCGCAAACTCGGCCCAAGTTTCCGCGCCCGCCGAGTGGGCGAGCTCCTACCTGCAGGGCACCGGGGTTCCCGCTGCTGCTGCCCGGGGCCGCGGCCGCATCCTCCAGCGCCGCCGAGGCCGCGGGTCCTTGTCCTGCCGGGCCCTGCACGGGAAGTCGCGGTGAGCACCGAGCTCGGAGCCACCCTCCTCGCTGCCTTTCGCGCCGCCGCCGGGCGCCGTCTGCGGTCCCAGGCGGGGCGGGCTGGGGGCGGAGCGGGGGCGGGGCGGCCCGCGCGGTTGGGGCAGAGCCCGGCCGCGCCTCTGGGAGCTTGCGCTCCCCTGAGCCCCGGGGTGCGAAAGGCCTGCCTCTGCCAGCCCTCAGGGGGCCGGGCCGCGGGCGCTGTGCACAGTCTGTACCCACCGCACTCTGCGAACCATCGCCTGGCGCGCCCATCCCATGCCTTCATTCAGTCACTCCGTTAGATCATTCATTCATTGTCACTTTCTAGCTATGCGGCCTTGCGTCCGCCACTTGACCTCATGATCTTTAGTTTCCTTATTTTAGTAAAACTGGGATTATATCATAGTGGTTGTGTCGTAAGGCTTAGAAGAGTTTGTATTAAAATATCTGGCTCTCAAAAATATAAAATAAAGGGCTTCCCTGGTCGTGCAGTGGTTGAGAGTCCGCCTGCAGATGCAGGGGACGTGCGTTCGTGCCCTGGTCCGGGAGGATCCCACATGCCGCGGAGCGGGTGGGCCCGTGAGCCATGGCCGCTGAGCCTGCGCGTCCGGAGCCTGTGCTCCGCAACGGGAGAGGCCACAACAGTGAGAGGCCCGCGTACCGCAAAAAAATAAAAAATAAAAAAAAATATCTGGCTCTCTTGGGCTAGTACAGTTGCATTAGGAGGCTGGAGAAGGGCTCCTTAGTCTGTCTCCTCATCTCGGTGAAGCCAGTGAGGGCAAATTCCAAACAAATGTATCTCAACTCCTGTTAGGGCACCATACCTGTCTGAGGAAGGGGTGATTTCCCCATCTCTGGAGTGAGCCAGGAATGAGGGTGCTGGGAGGTTTGTTAAGTGGCCTCTGAACCTTTAGGACAAATCTCCCTCAAGCCTGAGCACGTGTAGCCCGGGAGGTGGGATGGGGTGGAGCATCCCCAGCCAGGAATGGTCTGTTACCAAGAGAGGGGCTGGAGTGGTGGAAGGGCTTTCTCTATTTGCCCTCTCTGAGCCATCTGATGTTGGATAAGAAGACCCTTGGTGCTGCTACCTTCTCTGAAAAACCTGGTCCCTCACATTTCCTGGGCTTCCCAAGGACTGGGGACAGGTGTGTGCAGTGGAGGGAGGGAACAGGTGAACATGCCAAAGGTCAGAGCAAGTTCATGGGGCAAAACCACCTAGGCCACTTGCTCAGATCCCAAAGGTCAGGCCTGCCTGAGTCAAAGGGCAGAGCAAGTGTAAGGCCACAGGTTCCAAGAGTAAGGAAGCAGCTAGAGCAGCAGGGGCTGGGCACTGCAGGGAGGAAGAGGAAGTGAAGGTCACCTGGGGGCAGCAGAGAGGGTGTCACTTAACTGAGAGCTGGAGGGTTCTTAGAAATAGAGTTTGGAGAGAGCTGGCAAGCAGAGACTCAGAGAAGGTTGGGGCTTTCCCGAAGTCACACAGCAGTCTGGGATCAGGAAAGTGCATCTGTGTGCTGACAAGTAGGAGTCATGGCCAAGCCTCAGCTCACAGGCTGTTCTTCCCCACTTTTGCTCTTCACCAAGCTGGCCTCCCCTCCACGACACCCATTCCCCCGCCTCTGCCCTGTAAAAAGGGGGTTGGGTGGAGGGCAGTGTTCTCAGCTCTTAGGGTCTAGTCTCAGAACTCTCGGGTTGCATGCTTAGAGGGCTGGGTGTTCCCTTCAATCTCTCTGAGCCTGAGCGGAGCCCACCCAGGCCAGGATGAGCCTGGCGAGACCCCAAGGGGGCCAATTAAGAATCTTCAGCCCAGGGCTTCCCTGGTGGCACAGTGGTTAAGAATCCGCCTGCCAATTCAGGGACACGGGTTCGAGCCCTGGGCCCGGAAGATCCCACATGTCGCGGAGCAACTAAGCCCCTGTGCCACAACTACTGAGCCTGTGCTCTAGAGCCCGCGAGCCACAGCTACTGAAGCCACGTGCCACAACTCCTGAAGCCTGCATGCCTAGAGCCCATGCTCTGCAACAGAAGAAGCCACTGCAAGGAGATACCCATGCACTCCAACGAAGAGTAGCCCCCGCTCACCACAACTAGAGAAAGCCCGCGCGCAGCAACGAAGACCCAACGCAGTCAAAAAAATAAATAAATAATTTATTAAAAAAAAAAAAAAGATTCTGAAGCCCCATTGAGTCTTGTCTTAATTCAGAGACCACTTCACAAAGTATCTTCACTTACTCATTGTCTTCTCCATTCCTTTCAGGCATCACTTAGACACCTTGGACTACAAAAGAGGTATCACAGGGCAGGGGACTTGGGAGCCACTTTGTAGCTTTCTGAGACTCAGTTTCCTTACCTGCAAAACAGGGACCATGAAACCTGCCTCACAGACTTCAGTGAGTGTTGAATGAACAAAATCAGTGTGGGAAATTGCTTGTAAACCATAAAAAGTTTGTAGAGTATCAGCTGACTATGAGCTCCTGAAGGCGTGACCTTGCCCTCTTCTTCTCTATCCCAAGGTCATGTGCAGAGCCTGGGAGAGGTGCCTATCAAGCCTTTGTTGGATAAAAGAAGGTAATCAGTACAAGGTGGCTGCCTTGGGAACCGCCCCCCCTCACCCCGCACCGTGTGTTTATTAGGCTGTGGTCTTGGAGAGGAGGAATGGTATTGTGGCTGGAAGAAACAGTGTGAGCAAAAACAGAGAAGGGAATAGTCTGCCCTTATGTGGGCTTCCTGGCTGGTGTTAACAAAGAACAGTGGCATAGAGAAGCCTGGAAGGGAGGTTTCACACTCACCACCCCCCCTCCAACACACACACCAGGGCTCCACAGCCTCCACAGGCAGATTCTCCCCCTCCACCCCACCCCAGACAGACACTGATTACTCCTCCTGGCTCCCTGGGAAGGCGAGGTAAGAGGTCAACTTTTGAACCTCTGCTTGTTACCTACACATGGCTATTAATAACAATGCCATTCTCTCTAATGAGGCCACCCCTGCTATTTACAAATTTCCTTCCTCAGAGGAGCTCCTTCTCACCCCAGGGGAGGGAGATGTGGTGCTGGTAGCCACCCTACAGGCAGAGAAACAGAGAAGTGTGGTGCCTTTTCCCAAGACACACAGCAATGCTCTCCCCAATCCTTTCAGACCCGGCTATAGACACTGCCTCCTTCAGGGAGGCCCCCGGATTGCTGTTATGGCACTCTCTGTCCTCTCTACTTCCTCATCCCTTCCCTCTTCCTACCCAACAGAGGAACATCTCAGTGCTAGTGGGTGGGCAAGGCAAGAAGGCAAGGAGCTCTGCCTTGAACGTGGCCCTGCCGTCCATCGCTTGATAGACATGATCTCATTTAATTCTTACAACAAACATATGAGGCAGGGGTGTGAAAAACAAGTGAACTGAGGTGTGACCTACTGAGCTGAGTCACCTTAGACAAACCCCGTAACCTCTCAGTTTGCTCATCAGTCAAATGGGCATGATTAGAAAATGTCACAGGGCTCATGCAGATCCAAGGAGTTCACAGCTTGTTTTTTATAGTAAGTCCTCAACCAGTGGTAGCTCTAGAGGTGGAGGGGGAAGCGGCTTGCCCACATAGCCAAGAAATGGAGGAGCTGGGACTCTCCCCGCTGCCCAGGACTCTGTGACCCCAAACCCTTCTGAGAGAAGGCTCAGGCACAGCTGGTGGTCAGGAAGCCTCTGCCACTCAAGCAAGCAGAGCCTGAGTGGTCCCCTGTACCAGGGGCTGTCAGCCTGGGCTCAGGGCATCTCAGGGGGTCTGGATTGGATAGGACCTGGGGTGGGGCAGGTTCATAGGATCTGATCAGCGTGTGGTGAGCCACTTCCCAAAGATGTGCTGGAAAACCAGGGTTTCCTTCTGCAGGGAGGGCCAGGTTAGGGGCGGGGGGAACCTGCTACTCCTCCTGGGTGAGCAGGGAGTGGGGACCCTCCCCCTGCAAACTCTGGAGGAGCCCGACCCCACCTCCAGAGGAAATCAGTCTCTCAGAGGGGGATCCCAAAGACCAAGAAAGGGAGAACACTTTTCACTAGGCCACTCTGAAGACCATGCCTGCCTTCTGGCTAGAAAAAAAGCCCGCACACAATAATTTGGGGACCCTACTGCAGGAGAGGGAGGACACTCTGATTAATTCACAGCCAGGGTGGATTGACTGTCCTTCCCTTCCTTCCTTCCACCAACTACTGAGGACCCACAGGCTTTATGCTGGCAGTGAGTGGGACCCTGGCACTGTTTCCCTGGCCAGTGAGAGAGATGGATAAAAAATAGACCGTGACACTCCAGTGTGATGCTTGCTTGTGTGGGGATGAGGCTGCTGTGGCCTGATAGAGGCCTGAGGGATAGGGTACTGGCCTTGAGTCAGGAGAGGGTCCCCCATTCTGGCTATGATAGAGCCCAGCCACTGGCGGGTGGGATGGGGTAGGGTGTCTGGCTAGGTGCTGGAAGCAGCGGGAAACATTCCCTCCCTGACTCCAAAGAGGTCTTTCTAATGCCCACATCTGACCCTGTCATCCTCCCTGCCCCCAGCTTGGAGTCTCCCATGGCTCCCCAGTGCCTTCAGGATCCAGTTTCCCACTCTGGCTTCTGCCTGCCTCCTGACTGACCCTCCCCAGCTGGCCTGCCACTGCAGCCCCCAGAGCCAAAGCCAGGTCACACCTCCATGCTTTGGAATATGCTCTCCCTGAGCTTTGGCTGCCTGTCCAGCTCTTTCTTTGCTAACTCCTGTTGGTCTTCAAGGCTCAGCTCAGACCCCTTCCTCCAAGAAGCCTTCCAGAGCTCCAGGCTCAGTCTGGTCACCTCTTCTGAGGCCTCATAGCATTCTGAACTTATCTCCATGCTAGCCGTGAACTTATCTCCATTACCTAGTTGCAAGCCTGGCTCCCATACTAGCCTGGGTCTGCCCGAGCGCTGGGACTCCAGTGCCCAGCACAAGGCTAAGTTAGGCCGTGGTTGTGGAGTGAAGGGTTCATGGCAAAGGGGGACTGTGCACATCTGAAAGGGAAGAAAGTCAGAAAAACCTCCCCGGGCCCAGAGGTGAGAGCCTAAGAGGAGCCTCTGCTGCCAAAATCTTCCCTGAAGCCCCTGCATTTCCCCTCTCAGCCTCTCAGGACCCAAGACCGCAAACCCGAGGCCAGCGGCAGCCTGCCGGCCAACATAGGAAAACTGAGGCCCAGGGAGGGGGAGCCCCTGAGAGAAGGGGAGAGGCTGATGCATTTCCCCCTCGGTGTCGCAGGAGGCTGCTCCCCACATCCTGAGCCTGGACTCCTGCCAGCCTCCCTAATCACCTCCTTTCCTTCCCCATCCAGGGCCATTCTCTTGGGATCCCCTCCCCCGGGCCTCTGTGCCCTGGGCAGAGCAGCCCAGCTGTTTCCAGGATGGTGGTTTGGGCCTGGGCAAGCTGTACCCACAACCCTGACTCCTGCCCAGTGCCCACCGCGCTTTGGTCAGGCTTTGGCCTCCATAGGGAATTACCTTCCCCCAGCTCCCCAGTTCAAAGGTCTTGGGAGGCTGCCAACCCAGCTCCTCCTGGCCCTGCCTGGGCCCCCTCCCCCAGTGCCGGAGCACCCTCCTGTCCTACCGTGGGCAGGCTGGGTAGACTGCCCATTGAAAGCTTCCTAAGGCCGGCTGGGGCAGTGGGGTTTGGGCCAGGTGGTTAGCGCTGCCCCTACGTTAGTGGCCCCCTGGGGTTTCCATCACTTAGGGCTGGTTACCAGGCAACTGCATCCGAGGGCTCGGCTCTGGCTTTGGGCTGGCACAGCCGCTGCTGCTGAGCGGGGAGGCTTGCAGTCAGGCCAGCTCGGGTCATGGTCAGGAGGCCTCATGTGCCTGGGCGGGACGGGGGTGGTGCCTCAGATCTGTAACCTCAGAAACTCCTTATCATTTTCTCAGCTTAGACCCAGAGCCCTGCCCCACGAAAGAGGTCTCCAGGGTCTTCCACACAAACACCCACACTCAGAGCCTTCAGGTTTCTGGGAGGTTGAGGGGAGGCTGAGTGGGAGCAGAGAGGGGCATTTTTCCCTCTTTAGGGACTGGGGGTGCAGCCCTGTGGCCTTACTGACCAACACTCTGTGGCCTGAGGTGGGATCCATGAAGAGAATGATTTCCCAGGTTACAGGCCTTGGGCTTTGGGTCTAAATCCTGCTCTGCCTCTCAGTGGTTGTGTGACCTTGGACATGCTGATTGCCTGTCTGAGCCTCGGGTTGCCTCGTCTGTAGAATGGGATGGTAGCCCCTGTCTCATTAGGCAGTGTTTAGCCTGTAAAATGCTAATTAAAACTTTGGCTCCCCTGGTCCAGGAAGATCCCACATGCCGCAGAGCAACTAAGCCCATGTGCCACAACTACTGAGCCTGTGCTCTAGAGCCCGTGAGCCACAACTACTGAGCCTGCATGCCACAACTACCGAAGCCCACGTGCCTAGAGCCTGTGCTCCGCAACAAGAGAAGCCATCACAATGAGAAGCCTGCGCACCGCAACGAAGACTCAATGCAGCCAAAAATAAATAAATAAAATAAATAAATTAAAAAAATTTTTTTTGGCTCAGGGAGGCCCCCTTGGGGCAGGGATTGCCTCACTCAGCTCCTTTGTGGAGGTCCCCTAATTGGACCCCTGAGCCCTAGTAATGATGCAAACTCACCAGGCAGAGGATAACAGGCAGGGAGGGAGGGGAAAGGGGGAAGGAAACAGGTTGGCAAAAAAAATAATAACAACCCCCCTCCCATTGTGAGGGGAGGGACTCGAGAGTCCCCAGATTGTCACTTAGTTGCTGTGTAACTTTGGATGGGTTGCTTGACCTCTCTGAGCCTCCAATTCCTCATTGACAAGTGGAGATAATGGAAACTCCAGCCCCAGAGTGTTGCTGTGAGAAGATATTCAAGGAAGGTACCTAGCACAATGCCTGGCTCAGAAGTAGGGACTCAGAAAACTGGGACAATTATCATCGCGTTATTAAACCTGTATTACTACCAGTGACTGTTCATACCCATCATATCATTGAGTTCTGAGAGCACCCTGAGAGGAAGGAGAGTGGGGGCAGGCATTCACCTGGGGGAGGTGTTTAGCCTCCCAGCTTTGTCTCCTGATTTCCTGGTCTGGGGGTCCTGGGCCCCCTGAGGGGTGTGGAGGAGCCGGGGCTGCAGATCAAGCAGAAGGCCACAGAGCAGCCTGGGATGCAGATGGAACCAGAGCCTGCAGAGTGGGGAGGACTTAACTAGGCAGAAAGGAGCAGAGAGGGTATGCTTGGTGGGGGAACAGCCTTGACAAAGGCCTGGAGACCAGAGAGAGTGCAGTGTGGTCAGGAGCCACGGGAGCCAATGGCGGGGTGGGCTGAGACACCTAGACCGAAGTGAGTGACAGTCACATACTGCCCTGCTGAGGCCTGGGGTCTGGCCCTAGGCAACCAAAGACCCCCTTGCTCCAGGGTGCTGAGAATGACTGTGCCAGAAAGGTGGGCTGTGAAGAGGGGAATCCTTTCTGGTTGCATCAAGGTGGCCACACTAACTCGCCTGCCCTCTGTCTGGAGGTCAATCTCATCCCCCATCTGTGAGCCTCCATCATCACAGAGCACAAGTCCATCTCCCTGGGCTCTCCAGCCCCCTTGGGAGGCCACACAGGCCTGTTCTTGAGGGACAGAGCCCAAGCCGAGGTCCAGAGAGAGCCAAGGCTGGCATGGCATGAGCCCAGGCCCTGCCAGGATGACCCAGCTCAGTGATGTCACTGCTATTCTCACAGGCAGCCTCGAGGGCCCCCAGCCCCACATCTGCCACCCACCCCAGAACAGGGGTGTCCTCCCTCCTCCAGTCTCCCCTGGAGCACAGCACTCTGCCCCCCAGTGCTCAGTGAACCCTTCCAACAAGTGTGGCCTCAGAACACAAGTCTTCTGGTGGCAGGAAAGCCAGGGCCAGGGCTGAGGTGTGGAGGAGACCAGGACGTTGCAGGACAGCTGGCCAGTGCTAGTAAATCAACAATTCCTGAGCAAACACAGGCCGCTCTGAACCCGGGCCTCCTTCCTCACCCTCTGCGGGCAGCCCCCTCCCCTCGTGCAATCCCTACAATCAGGCCATCTGTAGCTGACTCCGCTCCAATTAGCTCAGTAATTAGCACCTCATCGGCCTGTCTGCCTTTGAACAGCTCCCCTGGGAAGGGGTTTGAGGAGGTCTCCATGACCTCAGTGCCCAGGGCTGGGGCAAGTTCGTGCAGGCCCAGGGGCCAGGCTGCAAGGTCCCTGTCAGTCTCCCTGCAGCCACAGGTGGCCCCAGCATTCACTGACGTGGCGTTCCTAGCACAGGGCAGCGGAGCCAACTGAAGAACCCCTCTGGGAGTTAGGGGGCTGGAGTAGGGGGCTGGGAGGCAGAGGAGCCCCTCCCAGGACAAGCCTTCTCCCCGCAATCGCTGGGACACTTCTCAGCACCCCCACACACCTCCTCACCAACTCCCCTTACTCAGGGACCCCTGGCTGGCAGGGATATCAGGGTGATGGGCAGGGGAAGCGTGAGAGGACAGCCAAGTCCCCAAAGGAAGGAGGCAAAACCGGTTGGGGTCAGATGAGGGAGCTGAGGTTGGGGTGGGGGGTTGGGATGGCCTGTGGCTGGTGGGGTCAGAGAGGGCCTCCTGCAAGAGACAAAAGGAAGTGGAGAGATGTGAGAGGTTGTCAGAGTGTGTGAGGCCACAGCACAGCGCAGGGGCTCTGGCGTGAGGGGCAGGCCAAGATGTCCCCTGACTGACCTCAATTTCCTCATCTTTTTTTTTTTGGCTGTGTTGGGTCTTCGTTGCTGCACACGGGATTTTCTCTAGTTGCGGTGAGTGGGGGCTACTCTTCATTGCGGTGCATGGGCTTCTCGTTGCGGTAACTTCCTTTGTTGCTGAGCACGGGCTCTAAGCGCGCGGGCTTCCATAGTTGCAGTACGCAGGCTCTAGGGCGCATGGGCTTCAGTAGTTGTGGCATGCGGGCTTCAGTAGCTGTGGCTCGCGGGCTCTAGGGCGTAGGCTCATTAGTTGTGGCGCACAGGCTTCGTTGCTCCGCGGCATGTGGGATCTTCCCAGACCAGGGCTCGAACCCGTGTCCCCTGCATTGGCAGGCAGATTCTTAACCTCTGTGCCACCAGGGAAGCCCTCCACATCTTTAACAGAGGGACAGTCATAGTAACAGCCCCCAGGTTCCGGGGAGAATTACAAGATGTGGGGTGTGGGGCGGAGCAGCAGTGCTACGGAGGTGAGAGGCAGGTGGCAGCGGCACCCAGGCTGTGGGGTAGGAGGTGAGCATCACAGGAAGCCAGCTTTTGTCTCCCTCCCCAGAGTCAGAGAAACACTGGCCCAGGGAGAGAGGCCTTGACAGGGCTGCGGGTGCCCCCAAGGTACGGCTCAGGCTTGGGGGAGGGTGTGAGGGAGGGCATGTCAGGCCCAGGTAAGCAACCAGCGTGAACGGCGCAGGAGACCCAGACAGGCGGGAAGTCAGCCCCACCCCAAGCCAAAACCCACAGATCGGGGCAACCTGGGGCTGACATCGGTCTGTGGTCAGCCACCAGACTGGAGCCCTAGCAGCTGCAAGGGCAAATAGGGTGCAGCTGGGGAGGACACTTGGCCAGGGCAGGGTCTGCCCCTGCAGTGAGTCTCCTCCAGTTCAGTCTAGAAAAATCCCATTGCTGCCTCACTGTTCTGGTGCCAGAAGTCCCTGTAAGTGTCTCCTTCCCTGGGATAAGCATTACCTTATTAAAGATGCTCTGGTGAAAAAATGCCACCAGCCACTTAACCCAGTCCCAAATCCCAACTTGCCACTCACGGCTGTGGGACCTCAGGCAGGGCCCTTCCCCTCTCTGAGCTACACGGTCCTTGACTGTGGGATGCTGATCCTGCCCCAAGTTCACGGTGAGGCTCAAGCGGCCAGTGTTCTCAGGCACTTGATTGGGCCTGGCAGGCAGTAAGCACTCTGGGAGCCTGTGTTCCCCCTCCTTTCTCAGGCCAGTTCCTGAGAAGGCCTTGGGACCCTGAGAAAGTCGAGGTCCGCTTTCCCTTCTCTAGAAAGGAGAAGTTCTGTGAGTCATGGCGGAAAGGCCAGAAAGACAAAACCGCCTCCCCAGTCCCTTCTCCCCCCAGAGGCTCCATGCTGGAGGGGAGCGGGCAGGCAAGTCCCTCCAGTAACATCTCCTGCTTTCAAGCCTCCAGCTCCCAGCCCAGCTTCATCCCAATCCTGGCTCCCAGTTCCAGTTCTATCCCCATTCCTATCCCAGTTCTGAGGCAGCAACCAGGAAACACAGCAGGACCCTATCCTAATAGGTGAAAGGCCTTGAGGTGGGTTTGTTCAATTAAGGGAAAGGGACTCGGAAACCATGGCTCCTTGCCTCCAGTGGGCAATGAGGGGCACCTGCTGCCTCTGGCCTGGTCCTCTTTGCCCACAATGATCTTCTGAGTGTCAAACTCAAGTCAACGGGGGCTTCCTGTGACCCACACCACGGGTGCTGACGGTGGGGGGCAGAAGTATCAGGCTCTGGTCAGCCTGAGCCCTGCCTGTGACCATGGTCACTGTTTGTCCCCAGAAGGGGCATCATAAAGCCTTGAGGGCAAAGCGTTTGTGAAGTCATTTGGGGGCAACTGTGGAGACTATACTTCTCAGCTGGGAAGGGGGTGCTGAGGGAAGCAGCAGGGGAAGCTGGTGAACCCGGGAAGTGGACCTGGCTTGGACGTGAAAGGCCTGGGCCTCTCCCTGGGGCCCACGTGACCACAGCCATGATCAGCCTTCTTTACTTCTCAGTCAGGGTCTGCCCAGAACCAGGGCCACCTCTCATCCACTCCTGCAGCCCCTTCGGTCCCAAGCACCCCCGTGGACTTTGAGGGGCTCCCTGATTGGCTGACTCCGTGACTCCTGGTCAGTGTGGGTAGAGTGCTAATCACCCCCCAGGGCTGTGGCTGGGAGCCAGTCCCTGGGGAACCAGGACTGTCACCGTGACCTGATAGGCTTCTACCAGGATGCTGGCCTCCCCACCCCGTGACAGGTCGAGACAGGCCTCACAGGGCAGAATGAGAGCCCTCCCTGAGCTTGAGAATGTGCTTCCGGGGCCATGGGACCGGAGGGCAGGGGCCCACACTCTGGGCTGGAGAGGCCGGGGGAGATGGGTGCCCTGTCCTCAGCTCAAATCCTGCCTCTGCTGCTTCTTAGCTATGTTGCCTTAGGCAGGTCACTTCATCTCCCTGTAGCACAGCTTCTGCAGGTATAAGATTAGGATAATTGTCACCCACCTTGTGGGACAATCAGGCAGACCAAGTGAGGTTGTGAACGTGAGGAACCCAGCGTGAGCTGGGGCTCAGCAATGCTCAGTGCTTCCTGGAGGTGAACCCGAGGGGTG